TAGAAAAATACTTCACAGGGCTGACTGCATTCTGTCCTCCTCATTGTCATGGGGCAGGTTAGGAGGACCCTGTCTTTGTCTCTGAAGCTTGTGGGCACCCTGAGGAAATCCTTGTGTGAGATCATACTGCCCAGAATTCAGTCCTTTAGGAAATCCTATGCAAGACTCAAAGAAAAAAAATCCTGTGCAAAACTCCATTTCAAGGGACAGAATCAGATTAGTGATTATTCTGTAGAAGCCCATGGGTTCAGATCAGGTAAAGATATTCTGAGTGGGAGAAAATTTTGGAAAAGAACAAAAATACCACAATATGTGTTTCAGAGTTGTTGGCCAGTGAAATAAGTTATTTTCCATTGTGACCATTCTACTTTGTCATGATTAGTAGGGGGAGGAACAGAATGACAGCAAAGGGACCCCTCTTATAACCACAATTAAATAGTAGACTGGCTGCTCTCTAGCAGCCTCCTGGCTCCTCATGGTTGTGGCTACTCAAGAGGTCCCGAAGCTTGTCTGAGGGTAAGGACATGCGGTGGCTCAGACGGTGATGGGTTTGATGTGAAGTTCACTTCTTGTTCCAGATGACTGCTCAGAGAAGGTACTCAACCATTCATTTTTTAATCAAAAAATAAATGGTGGCAGAGATAATGGCATCAAATTTCATCCACAACAAATCAGTGTTTTACCTAGTTTTCAGGGAAGACAAGGTCTAAGATCAAGTCAAGATTGTCAGCTATTTTTGTGACTGGCACGTATTACTGATTATGCCAGCATGTAGAAAGTTCCTTTGTTAGATGTTCCTTTATTTAGTTGGTAATGATGTGATTTGCACCTTCTATGTGCAAAGCTCCAGGTTAGATTTGATGAGAGGCTGTAAAGAATCTTAATCCCTGCTTTAATGGATGTGTTGTCCCGTTTGAGAAACACCTGTACAAACAGAACATCATATGAGTGGCACAGATAAATGTTTATATGAGAGAATAACTTCCAGCTAGAGATTCAGGAAAACACAGATCTCATATTTAAAACAGTATAGATCCTTAGGATGCTGTAGTCATGCTCTGGAGTATATAAATGTCTCAAAGTAAAAAAAAAAAAAAAAAAAAAAAAAAGCATGGATCTTATTTTTGGTTCTGCTCCAGAATCTTGGAAGAATTCTGTGCATAGAAACATTTACATGACACGGGACATAGTAGAGTTACAGTACTGAAAAGAGCAATTAGAATACCACAGGGGTGAGATGGGTCAGATTAAACATCTGGTTAATTTAGATCTTTCTGGGAAATCTGTTTTGACCCATAAAAATTTTTGGAAACTCTTCCAAGAGGTATTATTATCTTCTTTATTCTCAGGAAAGTGTGAGTCCTTGGCCAACTAGCTGTCTTGGCATTTATCAAAGTCATTATAAACTGTCTATGACTCATTTCTTTTCTAAATATTCACCTCCTATTCTAATTGATCGTATTTCTTGAGAGCAGGCGCTGTGTCTTTGACCCTCCCAGGGCCTAGCTGTAGAAGGGACTCAATAAATGTTTGTGGGGTGAATTGTCTTCTACCTCAGTCCCTTACACAGTCTGGAGCTCAGGGACTGTTTATTTCCGAAGAGCAGAGGTGTGCTTATCAGAGTTTACATTTCTGGGAAGCAGCTGCTGAGACAGATAGGAGAGGTAGGTGGGTGTCAGGTTATTGAGAAGTGGCATCTGTGACAGGAAGTGAAGCAGAGTTCCGCATGAGGAGCCACTGACCATGATGATGCGGATGTGAGCCGAGTCTCTACCAGCCCACAGGGGAGCTCCCGGGTAAAGCTTGAGGGCCAGATCCCTCTGGGGACAAAAATGGCTAGTGCACTGTGCACTTGTTCAGCCCTGGGCTGAGGGCCATCAGAGGAGGGCATGATGCCCCCAGGCTCCAATGCTGAGGTGGATTCTGAAGAAGCTGCAGCTGGAGGCTGTCAGTTAGCGAAGCACTCCCCTCCCAGAGGGGCCATGAGTCCATTCTTGAAGGGAGGGGACAGACAGTGCATTTTTCATCCATGTTTGTGACATGTCTTGTGAAATGACCTTACTTTAGCTGTTTTGTGGTTTATAGACATTATTCTCTATCTTGAACAATTATTATTCTGCACTAGCAAAATTGATCAGCATTGCTATAGATTATTTGAATACTGGGGGGAAATTTGACTGTACTTTTCAGAGCAGCTTTTTTCTTTTTTGAAAACAATGTTATAGCCCATACAAAATAGTAATCAACATCATCATCGTTCTTCGAATGGCCATTTTTGGTTAGGCCCTTTCTCTTTCCCTAAAAAAATATTTAAAACTTAACCTTTCCAAACCTCAGTTTCTTCTTCATTGAAATCATTGTGATAAAAGCCTTAAATTAGCTCTTGCTACAGGATTAAACAAGAGAATGTATGTAAGGTACAAAATATAGTCATCGCAGGAACATTCTGTACATGTTCATTAAAGAGACAAAAGAAACAGGAAGAAAAAAAATAAAGAGCTCATGTCCAGAACCAGAACCATATGCACTTGGCCTTCTCAGGTGAGCAAATGAGAATCCTTGCACACCTTCCACAGAAGTCTTGGCTCATGATTAGGCATTCTGAAGAACCCAAGCCACTTTCGTGCAGGCTCGACTTCTTTATTCATGTGTATCTTTTCCTTAGAAATCTCTTAATAATGCTAATGATGTTTTGACAAATTTTACAAATGTGTTTCATAACTCAATGAAGTTCTTCATGGAATGCATGTGCATGCAAATTTTGGCATAGAAAAAAGTAAGTTTTTTCTTTTGTGAATTTCAGCACTGAAGTCAATGCCCTAGTAGAAGAAATACAGAAAGCAGAGCCTCTAATCACAGCTTCAAGATCAGAGCAAGTAAAGCTTTTAATTCAGAGATTACAGGATAAACTCAGACAGCACAGCAACCACACATTCTATCTTTTTAAGGTAATGCGTGTTTTTTTTTTTAAATAAACAGAAGAACTTCAATGAGTTAGCTGGTATCCTATAAATCTGAGACAAAATGCGGTTTATATTTTCTCTTTCTCTCTGTGCCTCACATATATTTGCCGAGACTAAGTCTCAATTAGGGTTTGTTTGACTGACTGAATGAAATTCAAACATTTATTTCTTGTGAAGTTAAATAAGGATTTGTAGTAAGTTTGGCTGTTCTTTACAATGTTAAATTTAAAGGATGACCGTTAAGGTAGTTTTAAGTTACTGAATAATTAAATATTTTTTCAGTTGGAATAAATTAAGAGGTTGTATTTCATGGTATATCGATACTTAATATTTTCAGCTTCCATGAGAACTAAATATATTTCAGTAAATTATTTGATATGACTTATATGATAATTTTATTTTATTTTTTTTATTTTTTTATTTATTTACGATAGTCATACAGAGAGAGAGAGAGAGGGGCAGAGACACAGGCAGAGGGAGAAGCAGGCTCCATGCACCGGGAGCCTGACGTGGGATTCGATCCCGGGTCTCCAGGATCGCGCCCTGGGCCAAAGGCAGGCGCCAAACCGCTGCGCCACCCAGGGATCCCTATATGATAATTTTAATGTGGTATAAATATAGCTATGTTTCTTTACAGCTTATGTGGATTAAATTAAAAGTATAACAAATATAGTCACTTATTCAGGAACAGCTTTTAGTTTTTCTTAATTATTTAACAATATTTAATAGTTTATTCTAATATTGATTCATATTACACTTTTTTCTCCTTATGACTTAAATAAAATAATAAGAAAATGTAATTATTATTTACATACTTGACATATTCTATTTGATACAAAATATTCAATCTTTTGTAGTCATCCCTTCAATGTATTATTGAAAGATAAGAAATTATTCTTGTGATACCTTTCTTCCAGCAGGTGGCACTATTTAACTTCAAATATGAGTTCTAGAACTCACATGACCTTGTAATTTATCCTCCAAAGGGAACATTTTTGATAGTGAAAAGGGATACTATTAGTAATTATACTCCTGCAGCAGATATAACTGTGACTGTCCCAGCCTAGCCAATCACTCTATCGATAAACAGACTACCCAATTTATTTATGTTCATTTGATAAATGTTAAGCAGCCATTTCATGCTTGACAATGCAGGAATTGAAAGATACATAAAATGAGACATATCCTGACTCTAGAGGAGCTTTAGGATTCCAAAAATAATAACATATTTTAAAATCTATATTTGAAACATGTTTGGTGTATTATCATGTGCAATATTTAAAAGAAAGTGTTATAAATTAGTGCTATTTGATATCTTATTTAGTAGCAATAATTTATTTTACAAGTAAATCCATAGAAAACAGATCAAATTATGTTTTTGTAATTATTTGTAACTACCGAATGTATTATTGGTCATAATAGTAGAAGGCACAATGTATTTTTTCTCATTTGTCCAGATAGTGGATTTTTGTTCATTTATTATGTGTAACGAAGACAAACTTGAATGTCTTGATTAGTCTGAAGTTAAGATTAATGAGTTAAACTTAATTTTTTTGAGTCTATAACACATGATGTTTTCTTTCATTGAAGGTTCTCAGAGCACACATACTGCCATTGACTAATGTTGCACTTAATAAATCGGGCTCTTGGTAAGGTTCTCTTAAATTTATTTATTCTAAATTTTAAATTTTTTAAAATTTATTCATTTCTTTGAGAGAGTTAGAGAGAGTGTGCATGTAAGTAGAGGTGGGAGAGGAAGGGCAGAAGGAGAGGGAAAAGCTGAGGGATAAACAGACTTCCTTCAGTGCAGGGAGCTGGATGCAGAGATCAATCTCAGGACCCTGAGATCATAAGCTGAGAAGGCAGACTCTTTTTTTTTTTTTTTAAGATTTTATTTATTTATTCATGAAAGACACAGAGAGAGAGGCAGAGACACAGACAGAGGGAGAAGCAGGCTCCAGGCAGGGAGCCTGATGTGGGATTCTATACTGAGACCACGGATCACGCCCTGAACCAGGGGCAGGTGCTCAACCGCTGAGCCACCCAGGGGTCCCAGAAGGCAGACTCTTAACTGGGTCATCCAGACGCCCTTAAAATTTTAAGATTTTAAAATGAAAAAAAAATTAAAAATGTATTAGAATTTTAAAGCAGTTTTAGGTTTATAGCAAAATGGGGTGGAAGGTACAGATACCTACACACCCTCAGATTTCCTCCTTGTCATCTTCCCCCAATGACTTGTGCATTTCTTACAGTTGATAGACCTACATTGACAAACACATCATTATCATTCAAAGTTCATAGTTTACATTAGGGCTTGCTTTTGCTTTTGTACATTCGATGGGTTGACAAACATGTAATGACAGTTATCCACCATTAAGGCATCACACAGAGCAGTTTCTCTGCCCTGAGAATCCCCTATGTTCCACCTATGTATTTCTGTATTTCCATTTCTATTCCTTATGTCTAATTTTTAACAACTAAGGAATAAAAATGTCCTTTTTTAAAAAAATAAACTTTATATATTTAAGGTGCATAACATGATTTGACATACATATACATAATAAAGTAATTGTTATAGTCAAGTTATTTAACATATTAACTCTTCACAGTTACCACTATTTTGTGTAAAGAAAGCACTTGAAATGTATTCTTTCAGCATATTTCCAGTATTCAATGTTATTAACTATAGTCATCATACCTGTGTATAACATCTCTAGACTTACTCATCCCACATATCTGCAATGTTACACCCTTTGACCAGCATCTCTCCATTTCTCCCACTCCCCAGCCCCTGGTGACTACTGTTCTATTCTCTGCTCCTATGAATTTGACTTTTTTTTTAAGGTTCTACATATAAGTGAGATCAGACATATTTGTCTTTCCATGTCTGGCTTATTTCACTTAGAATAATGTCCTCCAAGTTCATCCATGTTGTTGCAAATGGCAAAATTTCCTTCCTTCTTATGGAATAATATTCCATTCATTCCTTGATGGACATTTATGTTGTTTCTGTATCTTGGCTACTGTGAACAATGCTGCAAAGAACATGAGAGTGCAAATATATCTATGAGGTTCCGATTTCATTTTTTTTTGGATACGTACCCAGAAGTAAGGTTGCTGGATCATATGGTAGTTCTATTTTTAATTTTTTTGGAACAACTATCCTGTCTTCCATCATGACTGTACCAGTTTACATCCACAAAGAAGCTAGAAGGAAATGCCTAGAGAAGAATCAAAGATACACTGCCTTGTCAACCCTTTCACTTACTTGAGTTTCGATATCAGGATTTGTGTTCAACTTTTATCATTACCACTTGACATAGAGACTGGCTTTCTAATTTCATGCATTTTTTTTTCTGTGTTGGAGAAGTATCTTTCCTAATGGAATATTTAGGGAATAACTAAGATACTGTTATTTTACTTTAAAATATGAGAGGCCAACATACTAATTATTCCTGTAGTCAAATATTCATGTAAGAGGATTGCAAATCTTAGGTAAATACTCATTGAACTTTTACTAATTTGCTAGTCACGTTCCAGGTCCTGGGGATGATGGCAGTAAACCAGATGGATGGAAGAATTAGCATGTATAGAAAAGAAAAAAATGAATTCTTTAGAAACTCTCAAAGAGGTGAATGTGGCTGTTCAGGGTGTGCTTTTGGGCAAAATTGAGGTCCCAGAGACAGCCAATGCTGCTGGCCTTGTGGGCCATAAGCAGAAGTTTGGATTTTCCTCTAGATTGCTGGGAAGCCAGCTAGGAAAGGTTAAAAAAAATAACTCCAGTTTCAGTGTGGAAAATAGACTTAGAAAGATCATGTGTGAGCTAGCACCCATTAGAAGATGGTTTCATTTGTTGAGGCAAGAGATAGAGGCAATGAAGCCTGGTGGGAAGTGGCCACATTAGAAGTGTATTTTGAGATTGGGCTAACAGAATTTACCAATAGATTGTGTGTGGGATGTGAGGGAAAGTGAAGAATCAAAGATGGTGCTAAGATTTTATGGTCTGACCAATGGGAAGAATGATGCTGTCTATTGAGATACGTCAGAGTTTGAGAAAATGTTATTGATGACCACTATTTAATTATTAATTATTTATATTATTAGAAAGATTATTGGATATTCTTTATTTTATTTAGTGACTCCTTTTTGAGTTAGGGATAAATTGGAAAGTTTCTAATCAAAACATTTAGATACTGTTCCTAATTTAACTGTCCTACATACACAAGTTCCATTATAAAAAGCAACAAAAATGGGCTTACAATCTTGCAGGTTAAAACAAAGGAGGTCTTTATTAACACACTGCTATTGTCACTTTATGATTGATTTATATTCCTTGTGTTAGCTTTATCACAGGAAGCTATGATCGGACGTGTAAACTCTGGGACACTGCATCTGGAGAGGAGCTTCACACCCTGGAGGGCCACAGGAATGTAGTCTATGCCATAGCATTCAACAATCCTTATGGGTAAAGAGACTCTCACTCATTCACTTATTCCTTATAAATCCATTAATTTGTTTATTCTTCTCTCCCTCCATTTATTGGAGGAGGAAAGGAAGAGAGAACTAAAATTTGTCAAGTGCCCGATGTGTGCTCTGAAAGCCTTTTAATTATCTTCTTCATGCTTACAGGAGTTTGGGGATAGGTATTACTGTTCTCATATAAAGTATATAAAGTTCAAGTACCCTTCCTGGGATCACCTGGTAATAAAGAGGAGAGCAAGAGTCCAAGTTCAGGCAGAATTGAGTCCCTTCTCTTGGGAATTCTCTGACAGGCAGGTCCTACTGATATTTACAGCACTGGCTTCTGGAGAATGTGACACACCCACATAACATGGTTTGCCTTGTTTAGAAGTTAATTTACAGTCTTTAGCAGAAAACAAATGTGTACAGTAACACAACAGTACAAAATATAATGGCCTTTTAAACCAATGTCTAGTTAACTGATTCAGCAGATTGAGTTAGTCCTCTAGCTATCCTTCTGCTCCCTGAATGCTTGTAGCAACTGGGCCACCCACTGGGCCACCCACTCACCGATATGCTCAGCTTCTCTTGCCACAGGTTAGGTGGTAGGCCCACCAAGATTTAATTGTGTTTTTACATAAAACTGCTTATGTTGGCTGTGCTTTCAATTGTAATTATGGAATTTAATTAAGTATTGCTTAAACTAATGAAATAATGAATGTGAAAATAAAGCTGTTGAGGTTTCTTTGTGTGTGAATGCATAGATAAGGTAAATCTTTGAAAAAAATTGCTACTAAATGAAGTTGTAGATGAGAGCAATGTAAAAATTAGAAAACACACTGAAACATTTAGAAAAATTTTGTGCTCAGATTCTGCAAGCATGTTTAAGTTCTCATGGCATTTTTAATAAAAAAAATTGGGTGGTTGTAGATGTTGGATATAATTTCTGTAAGACAGATAATGAGCTCTGGCTGGCCAAAGAAAAGGCCATGGCCTTGCATATTTGCGTAAAAAAATCTGAACGTTGCGTCTTTTCTCGTGGTGGCTCACTTTGACTTTTTTCCATTCACCAAGCTGTTTCTATAAATACATGTCTTTTACCATAGTATTATGATGACTAGAACACAACAGTAAATGGTTTAAAAGTTAAGAGGAGAAAGATTTGTGTGATTTCTCCTGATAGAGGCTTTGTGGAAGATATGGGGCTCAAGCAGAAGCTTGGAAGGTGAAAGATGGAGGGAAGTGGGGAGGGCATCGTGGGTGAGGGCACCCTGCAGCTCCAGAGGTTAGGTGGGACTTTGTCTGGCACCCCTGGCTCTCTAGTGCACATTTTCTGGTGAGAAACAAATGTGGGCAAGATCAGAGCTTTCTGTGTAGTTTGCACTCTGTTCTGGAAGACCGAGTTCTGATGAAAGCTTTGTGAATGAAGGAGGGACTCAATGAAAGTGCTATTTTGGGAGAGCTGTTCTGGCAGAGACAGGGGGCCGGAGGGTGTGAGAAGGGATGAAACAGGAGGCAAGGAGATTAGTTTGGAGACAGATAAAGTGATAAATTCAGGAGATGATGAAAGCAGTGTAGGATAGTGGCAGGGGCAATAAAGGGAGTTTTATAAAAATCTGATGCACTTAGAGTCGAAATTTTATCCCATGAATATTAAAAACTTGGTATGTAGGTTGCTAATGTCATTACATCTCTTTAAAGTGTTACACACTTTTAAAACACATCAATTGTGATGGCACAAAGTTAATTGGTACGTTTAAAATGATTAAATATTCCAATTACATTACCGAAAACTTAACTGCGATGTATGCGGTTATACACTGTAGAGAATGTGATTTTTATAATACCTTATTGCACCAACCTGTGGGAGAGGAAGATTTTATTGAAATTATATATGATAGAATGTTTTACTTCTGGTATAATTCCTACTCTAATTGCAATGTTATTTAAAGGACTTTAAAAGTATATTCTCTATGATATAATACCATGTCCTATAATAGGCTACTTAAAAGATATGATATTTCTGCATGTCTGAGAACAAAGTTTTTCGGGGATAGGGAGGTAAAGAACGCTTCCTCTTTTGGTTCTGCTGTTGGACTCTACCAAGACCCCCTAATGAAAAACTCACTTGTCCAATTACAGTCTGCTGATTTATGTACGGTTTAAAGCAGCATTTTCCATGGCATTTGGGGGCATTGGGGTTTCAGTAGAGTGAGTTCAAGATAGCCACCAAAGAATGAGAGGGAACATGTGCGTGTGTGTGTGTGTGTGTGTGTGTGTGTGTGTGTGTGTGAGGGAGGGGGGGAGGAGAAGGGAGAGAGAGAGAGAGGAGAGGGGAAGAAAGAGAACAAAAGAGAGGAGAAGGGAAGGGGGTGGGGAGAGAGATGAATTTCAACCAGTTTAGTGTTTATATGTTTTATACATTAGGTTGGGAGTAAGCTTTGATTCAACAAAGTAATTCTAAAAAATATGTCATTGGTATTATCTTTTATCATGTAATGGCATATGGAACTAGAGAGCAGTGTGTGATCAAACAGGAATCGATTGAGAAACAACAGCAACCTGAGATGATATGTCTGAGGAGCAGGAGGGATGGAAAGTGGAGGGAAAGAGTTGATAAAGGGCACACGGGGCTCTCAGCACATCCGAGCAGAAGTTTAGTGTTCTAAACTAACCACATCCCAGCGGACGTCAACAGCTGATGAGGAATGCCCAGACTGGATGGAGGAGAGCCAGTGCAGACCTTGGGTTGATAAGCAGCTTTGAGTGTTAGGAAGCTCTAGGTGGGTGGGTATTCTCCAGAACAAACTGTCCCTGGAGCATGACAGAAAGGACCTCACTCCCATTAGCTCAAAGACCACAGAAACACTACGTGGTTGGCCTGAGAACAAAGGAGAGATACAGGGCATCAGTGTTAGTTTGGACAAAATATAAATTTTGCAACTGTGCCAAGCGCATATAAATTGCCTTAGGATATGCATTTTGGGTCATAAATCCCTTCACGGTTTTGAACAATGAGCTCTAACTGTAATTGATGACCCAGTTGGGTGAACATTTTGATGACTTGGTGTAAGAGACAGGGGTCAACGGTAAAGGAAAAGATTTAGTTCTACGATCACAGGTTAAGCAGGTCAACCCGCTCTTAGCTGTTGGGTGTTGACAGTCACCCTGCCCCACAGTATACCCGGGAAACCTCTTGTTTGAAAGGGACAGGTCTTTACCCTACTTCCTCTCTAAATCCTCCTTCTTGTTCAAAGACCTTACAATCAGAGTAATATTGGCATTATTTTCCCAAGGAGACACTAAGTTCTCAAAACCTTATCTAGCCATATGGTTAATTGGATTTATATCTTTTCATTCTTCTTCTTTTAAATTCAAAATTAACCTTGTCAGTAGACCTACTAATAGAATTTTTCTATGTCCCTGCAACTCATACATTATTTGTTTCCATTTGGTAATAATTTTCTAAACTAAATTTTGTGCCATATTCATTGTGGCAATTTAAAAACTTACTGTAATCCCAAACATAAATTTATGCCTTCAGTGTAAAATATTTAAAATTAAACATGCAAACTGATACTATTGAAAAATTAGACCTTAATTTTGTTGTCCACTGAAACAAATGTAAAGTTATGTATTGTTTTACAAAGTAAATTTCTGAGTAGACAGACCCATGTATTAATATCTCGTCTTAATTCAGTGTATCATATCCTGTGCTTGAATTTGTCTTCAAAACCCATTTTTTTTTTTTAAATCTTAG